AAAAAATACACTACTAATAACACTAATACATTGGGAATGACAAAAAAAAAAATAAATAAATAAAAACATGACATAGAAAGTGGGCAGGGCCCACTGCCACATCATTAGTACTCCCTCTAGTGATCTTTTTTTAGTACTCCCAAGCATTTTTCATTTTATATTAAGGCTTTGTTTGAGAGTATAGATTTTTAGTTAAAAAGCTAAAAATTCACTGCATATTGTCAAATCATTCTCTCTCTCTCTCTCTCTCTCTCTATATATATATATATATATATCTTTGTAAAAAAATTAATTTTTTTTTTAAAATAGTCAATTTTTAAATGAGCTTTAATACACTAATACATTGGGAATGACAAAAAAAATAAAATAAAATAAAAACATGACATAGAAAGTGGGCAGGGCCCACTGCCACATCATTAGTTCTCCCTCTAGTGATCTTTTTTTAGTGCTCCCAAGCATTTTTCATTTTATATTAAGGCTTTGTTTGAGAGTATAGATTTTTAGTTAAAAAGCTAAAAATTCACTGCATATTGTCAAATCATTCTCTCTCTCTCTCTCTCTCTCTCTATATATATATATATATATATCTTTGTAAAAAAATTAATGAGCTTCTTTCGATAGTCAATTTTTAAATGAGCTTTAACTGTAGAGTAAGTTACACTTGTAATAAATTCGAGTCACACAATACGTTTTTGTGCATTTTTTGTGTTTTATTATTATTATTATTATTACTATTATTATTATTATTATTATTATTATATAAAAACGTTTAACCACATAGAGTAATCTCTCAATTAAATTCTAAGAAGTTGAACACTCAAAAATCATCTTTTTTATTTTTTTATCGGTAAATGTTAGTTGTTAGTTATTGGATTAGTACCAATGGGAGAAAATATCTCCACCCTTGACAAAGTATTTTTTGATCGACAAATGTTAGTTATTAGATTAGTATCAATGGAAGAAAATCTTCTCACTTTTGACAAAGCACTTAAATATTTACACTTCCTTAATTCAACCTCTTAAAGAGAATTGAACCCATAACCTCTTTAAAACTAAACTAAAAAAAAAATAAGATGACCAACTAAATTAAGCGTAATTGATTGCTCAAAAATCACCCTTCGACGATGTTACATAATAAAGCCACTTAATTATGTAATGATAGATCGCAGTCTCGCGCGGGCATGCACCGGTTATAAATATCTTGCACAACCCACACTGCTCTTCATAGCAACCAAAGTAACATTCAACCTCTCTCTCTCTCTCTCTCTCTCTCTCTCTCTGTGTTAATTCTTTTCCCTCTCTGTATGGATTCATCAAAAGATGGTAAAGCAGAAATGCTTTTCTTGCCATGGATATTGGCAAGAGGGCACATGATTCCAGTGATAGACACAGCAAGGGTTTTTGCTGCTCATGGAGCTAAAGTCACCATAATCACAACTCCAGGCTATGCTCAGCTCTTCCAGAAGTCCATAGAGAGAGACCAATCACTACTAGGCCATCATGACATTAGCTTCCACACCTTCAAATTACCTACCGCCGAGGTCGGCTTGCCCGAGGGATGTGAGAATCTCCTCTCCACCGCCCTCGACAGGGACATGTCCGAAAAGCTTTTTTCGGCCATCTCAAAGCTTGAAAAACCTATCGAGCAACTGCTTCGGGAACGCCGACCCGATTGCCTCGTCAGCGACATGTTCTATCCGTGGACGGCCGACGTTTGTGCTCAGCTCGGGATTCCGAGGATCGTCTTCCATGTTACCGGTTTGTTCCCTTCATGTTGCGAAGAAGTTGGTTGATACTATTACTGTCTAATATGGGTCAATCTAATTTTTATCTATTTATTTATTTTTTAAGAATTATAAGACAAACCCATTCCATTTGGAAGTCATTTAAATATGAAGAAAAAGATTATTTTTATACAGAATTTATAGCAATATGGCGTGACAATAATGTATGTGTTTGGTTTAAATTTTTTTTTATTAAGTTTTTTAGAAATTGAGTTTTCTGATTTTTGTGTTTTTTTTTTTGTTTGTAATGAATATTTTTAAAATTTTAAGTATTTTTTAAACTTTTTTAGATGCATCATACTTAGATGTATCTAAAAAATAAAAAATTTATAAAAAAATATTTAAAAAATTTAATAAATACATAAAAATACATATACTGAATTCTCATATTTTTTTTTGTATTTTTGGTATTTAGTGAATTTTTAAAAGTTTTTTTCACAAAAATTATACTTTTCATATGTATTTATGTTAGGTATGTCTTAAAAATTTTAAAAAAAAATTGCTTAAAATATTAAACAAAATTCAGTAAAAACAAAAAAAAAAAGAAAAACAAGAAAATAAAATTTTTTGAAAAATATTTTTGGAAAATATAAGCTTTTGATTTTGAAATGATTGAACCTAAGCAACCCGCGTAAAAATTTTGGATTAATTTTCAATTTGCAAATTAATATTCTTAAAAGGGCAATTCGTGCAAGCGGATACTATATACACTTGTGTAAGTTCTCATAAATATACGTAAGTTACCTTACAAAATTGCATAAGTTTTTAAAAATATACGTAAGTTAATCTCACAAAAATTTTAAAAATCATAACTTACGTGTATTTGTTAAAAATTATATGATTTTGTAAGATAACTTATATATATTTATAAAAACTTACACAAATACATATGATATAGACCTGACACAACCAGACACTTTCCCTTCTTAAAATTATGATTTCACGTTATAGGTTTGTTCCCTCTCTGTTGTGAAGAGAGCGTTCGACGCTACGCACCGCACGAAAAGGTGAATTATGATACAGAGACCTTTGCTTTGCCGGGTCTCCCCGACGACAACATCAAGTTTAATAAGCTTAAACTCCCATACTGGTTTAAAACCAAAGGAACTGGTTGGGGACAACTTTTGGATATCTTTCTAGAGGCCGAGCTGAAGAGCTATGGGATTATAATTAACAGCTTTTACGACTTGGAGCCAACTTATGCTGAGCATTACAAGAATGAAATGGGTAGAAAACTATGGCTTGTAGGGCCAGTGTATCTCTTTAACAAAGCAGCCGAAGAAAAGGCCGACAGGGGAGAAAAGAACTCCATTGATGGTGGTACAGTTTTGAGCTGGCTTGACACCAAAAAACCCAACTCAGTAATTTATGTTAGTTTTGGGAGCCAAGTTCGTATGGCTCCTAAACAGTTCCTTGAGATCGCTCACGGTCTCGAGGCTTCTGGTTGCCCATTCATTTGGGTGGCTAGAGATCTCTCAAAGAGCAATGAAGAAGACAAAGAAAAGAGGGAAGGAGGAGAAGGGGAAAATGGCGATAAAATGCTTCCAGATGGATTTGAAGAGAGGATGACGAAGTCCGGGCATGGATTGATAGTAAGGAGTTGGGCACCGCAGCTGCTAATCTTAGAGCACGTTGCTGTTGGAGGGTTCATGACACACTGTGGATGGAATTCAACGATTGAGGGCATAGGAGCGGGCATTCCAATGATCACATGGCCGCTCGCAGCGGAGCAATTTTTCATTGAAAGCCTGGTTACAGATGTGTTGAAGACTGGGATTCGAGTGGAGAACGAGGAGTGGGTGTCGTTGCATTGGGAGCCCAAGGTGACGGTAACTAGAGAAAAGGTGGAGAAGGCAGTAAAATGGCTAATTGGCGGTGATGGTGGTGACCAAGTGGTGGAGATGAGAAGGCGAGCACGAGAGATGGCTGAGAAGGCCAAGAAAGCTATGGACTATGGGGGCTCGTCCGATGCCGCTGTCATTGCTTTGATTAACGAGCTTAAATCTCGTCAAAGTGTCTGTGAATAATTATGATCCTTAGATTTTGCTTGCCAGAATCGAACTCCTAGTGAGTCAGCAGTCAGTGTGTGTAACCTTTAGTAGTGTTATCCCAGGTCTCAATAATTTGTCTCTAGTTACTTACTAGGATCCGCTTGAATAACTCGGCATTGTTATTGCTGGGAATAAATAATAATAGTAACAAAAATGGTTGGAACTTTCAAAATTGAGGATCTCTATAACCTCTAAAATGATATTGACTAATTATGTGTTTTTATTTTTTTATTTTTCTTTTTTTTCTTTCTTTTCTAGACGAATCACATGTGAGTAGGGTTGTAAAAATTTTATTTTTTTATAGTATGTAGCATTGTTGTAATAATGATAATAATAATAATAGTTAAGTGGTGGTGTTTTTTTAGATATTTACATGTGAGTGGAATCTTTTTAGCCACAAAAACAACCCTTGTTTTGGAAGTGAATTTGGGGCTACACTACTACAAGAAATCAGCTTTTTAGGGACAAATTTATTTCGTTCTTAAAAGTGTAATATTTGCTGGAAAAAACTTTAGCCAACAAATTTCCTCCGTCACGAAGTTTGTCCCAAATGGCCCGTCTGAAAAAGTCAAAAAATGGCTTTTAGAGACAAAATTTTGCATTTGTCACTATAAATAGACTTTTAGAGACAAAAATAGGTGGTTGCAAAAAGTTTTGATTTTGAGACAACCAAAATTTGTCTCTAAAAGTCTATTTATAGTCCAAGGCAACGGTGGTAGTTATGGAGACAAAGAAACTAATTTTTGCGACAACACAAATTGGTGTCTAAAAGTTTTAATTTTTTGGAACAAATGGTAGTGGTCCGTAAAAGTTTTAGTTTTTTAGGACAAAGGGAAATGGTGGTTAAAAGTTCTAATTTTTGGGACAAATAAAAATAGTGGCTAAAAGCTTATTAAATATTTTTTGAGACAACTAAAATTGGTCTCTAAAAGTTTGATTTTTTTTTTTTTTTTTGATTTTTTAACAATTATTCTAAAAATACTAATTTGAACATCAACTTATATTCCTTTCTTGATTTCTCAACAACCAAACAGAAAATATATATCACCAAACCATCCACTCATCTCCAAATTAAAATTCAACTAACCAAAAAATAAAAAAAGCTCATCGCATTCAATAACAAACAAATACCATGCTCTAATTCATTAGTACGTAATATCTTGATTGTATATATGACAGAGATTTCAAAAGTTTCATTTCCAATTTATAAGGCTAGTGTTATAAGCATTGTTTATAGCATTCAACTGTTCAATGAACAGATTGTTATTAGAATTATATCTACCTACATAACAAAACAACTCAACTCATCGCATCTTCTTCTCAATGGTTTCGTTAAAATGGCATTCAAAATCTAGCAGAGAGCTCCCAAGCTTTAAGTCAACGCAAGCTTGCAGGACCTGCATAGAATAGGCCAAACTCTCAAATAGATTACCAATTAAAAATTATCCAATAATAGATTAATTTAATAAATTGCAATTTAATGTGCCGATTCTAGTATCTGAAGTTCAATTACAAACATTACTCCAGTGAAAACAATTCCTTGTAGAACAGTAAGTAAAAGGAATAACTCCTATGAAAAGTGTAATTATGCAAATATATATATAGACAAAAAGGAGAATATTTTTCTAAATCGCCTGCCACACTCCCACGTGAGATACATGTGGGCCTCACACAAATGCACCCCACTGTTTGTCTCTCATGTGATACGTTCTTCAAAAAAATTCTGTCTACTTATAAAAATTCTAAAGAGTAATGCAAGAGACCTCTAAAAAATCGTTCCTAAATTTACCCCTAAGGTGGTATAAATCAGGTCCACAACTGGTATACATGCAGCAAGTTGTGATGAGTTCAAAACTAATCCTCAGAAATTGTCTTCGCCCACTCATTATTATGTAATCCATTTCCTTCAGAGAGAAAGAGCTCAATACTAGTCCTCCCCCTTGCTCATAAATTAATGTAATCTTATCTTATAAAATCACTCTAGAAAGTTAATACTCACAATTTCTAGAAAAGTGAATGTATAGTCCTTTCCTCTTATCTGTGTCTGCTGGGCACAGTAAAACGAGAAGTAGACAATTGTTTTTATAAACTGTTCAAGTGTGTTCTCCACTTCCTCTTTAGTTCCTAGATCTGGAGGTGATAAGAGGAAAAGTATGCTTTTCTTGTTGCCATGTAGTCAGCTTAGAGAGAGTTTCTAAACCTTAATTTCCAGCATAATTTCCATTGACCTCATCAAAAACTTAAAAACCAAATTTAACACAAACAATCCAATCATATTAATATCCTAAGATTTAACACAAACAATCAAAAGGGACCCAGATCAGGTGCTCCTGCCTTGAAGAAAACAATTCAAAAGATACTAAAAGCACAGTGATGTATAACCTGTACTAGCATATACATGCAATCCAATCATATTAATATCCTAAGATTCATCATATTATTGAATGAAACAAATATCAATTACTCAAACATTCTGAAAAGATGACTTACTAAGAAGAAGAATCAGTAGAGGGTACTCTTTGACTGATCTGCTGCATCAAGAAGTCGACTTTGGCATTGTATTCCGTGCGATCAGACTCCAAGATTTGAATTCTTCCCACCAGCTCCTCATTGATTCTTCGTTGCTCTTCAGCCTCCCTTGTAGCAGCCTCATTATCCCTCTCGAGTTGGGCACGGGTAAGTTTTCCAGATAATGTTGTACTTGGTTTTCGACCACGCCCTAAGTCGCGTATGTAGCCAACTTTTTGTCCAAATACCTCAATAGAAAGTTGCTCATCAGATATCGGGCAAGATCCTTCTTCAATAGCTTTCTCTTGCCGCTTTTCAAGCTTGTACTACAATATTCATTAGTTGAGATAAAATTAAGTATCCATCCACATTTTATTAAGGAAATAAGGAATGAAAGTACATAAAGATTGATGTCTTACATGTCTAATCTCAGCATCAGCATGCACCCATGCCTCTTTTTTCTCACTAAAATGCGTCTTTTTGTACAACTCAACAAGTCCAAGTCCCTCTCCAGTGGCACGGTCTCGCTGTGCCATTTATAGCACATATTAAACCTCAATATAGATTATGTTGTTCAATTACAATTACAAAACATAAATTATAGATTCTATAATTAATACCTCATCATATTGCACTTTTCTGAAGGCCTTTGAGCTAGCAGTGTGGAGGGCTTTCAATTTCTCCCGATTCAACTTATTCTTGCCACATCTCACCTATTATTAAATGCATAAGTCAGAGTAGAAAGTGTTTCTTTTATTATTAAACATTTCTCATCTACAAGAAATATAGAATTGGAGATATACCACATACCAGTTTGGTGTATCTCATTTAAGAGGTC